AAGAGGGTACAAAAAAAAGTGCACAGGGTACATTCAAGTACTCAATGAGTACAATCCAAACCAACAAAAAAAAGTTAGATTTTTCAAACTTCGATGCCAACTTCACATAGCTGAGGAAAATGCACCCGCGGGTTGATATCATGTGGGCGTTCAGGGCGATTCGATTGGATTCATGACGGCGTGATGCGATTGATGATGATGAATTTGATGGGATTGGGACGAACCTCCGATCGCCTCGAGAATTATTTTTCGATTTTTTAGGGCGCATGCAGAAATGTGTCAATTCAATTGACAGATTATCGCACAAGGCCGTAAAGTACACTATTTTGTACAGCTCCACTGAGGACACGAGGAAGCCTGACAAATAATTCAATGGCGGTAAAATCATTATGCCTCGACATGTCCTCTGGCATTATTCGTGTCGACGAATTATTTATTGCTGACAAGTAATGTTGGATTATCATTCAATTTTGAAACAATCCGCGATTCATTCGTTTATAGAAGGAATTGAGGGAGTGAAATTTTAGGAAATGGAACGTTTGGGAATTTTTGGGTAATTTAAGGGATGTGAATAAAGATTTGTTGGAAAAGACACCGATTTTTTGTTGCAGGGCGGTCACTGATCCCAGGGACGGCCGAAGAGTCGCTCTCAAGAAGCTACCAAATGTCTTTCAGAGTCTTGTGAGCAGTAAGAGGGTATTCAGGGAATTGAAGATGCTGTGCTTTTTCAAACATGAAAATGTAAGTCTAGAAAATATGTTCCTTTTTATTCGTCATTAGGGATTTTTTTTATTATTTCCGGGGTTCATTCCAGGTTCTCTCAGCACTGGACATCCTGCAGCCACCGCATCTTGACTTCTTCCAGGAAATGTATCCTTTTTGCAAACGAATCGTTTGAATTAGTACACGGGTACTGAATGAACAAAAAGAGCTTTAGCCTTTTCGCGAATATCGCAAACATAGTCAATCCAATTTTGATGACTCACGGTCCATTCGAAAGCCCCTGAAAACTCTCATGAATCCTCAACCCCTCACATTCCCAACCCTGGACACCAAAAAGTTATAGTCCTCCGTAAAATCCGAAACAGCTTCTATCATCATCCTAAAACATTCTTCCCACATTTTTAGATAGCTCTCCTAAACGGCTCGGTCGATCTCTTAAACTCACTTCTTATTCGAAAGCTTAATAAATTCCCTACAGAATCCACACTAACCCCATCTCCCTTCATCCACCCCTACCTTAGACAACCGAGAAGTTTGAATCCTTCACATAATCCCAAACAGCATCACTTCTAATAAAAAAAATCATCCCCCTTTTTTTCAATATCTCTCAAACTGCCCAATCGATTTCCTCCATTCACCACTCATTCGAGCGCTCCTTAAAACTCCCACAAAATACCAACCAACCCTTCACCTTTCCACCCTCTGCATCCAAAAGTTACAATCCCCCGTTAAATCCGAAACAACTTCAATCATTACCCGAAAAAATCCTTTCCACATTTCTTGACAGATCTCCAAAACGGCTCCATCGATCTCGCAAACTCACTTCTCACTTGAAAGCCCATTAAATTCTCTACAAAATCTGCACCCACCTCCCCTCTCTCCTTGCACCCCTACCTTAGACAACCAAGAAGTTTGAATCCTTCATGAAATCCCAAAAAGCATGACTTCCAATAAGAAAATCATTCCCTATTCTTCTCAATATTCAAAATCAGACAACCATTCTCCACGCACTCATTGAAAACCTTCCGAAACCCCCAACAAATCCATCCACCCCATTTCACCCTCCATCCCCCCAAAAACTCTGAATCCTCCCTAAAATCCTCGCCAGGGAAGATCGATCCTCATCATAATTTCCCGTTTCCAACCCAAAAGGACTCCTCAACCACGTCACACACAAGCCGTTGGAGGTATCGATCCACCCCTATACACACCCCCTCCCACCCTCCAACCCCGTGGGAAAGCCGTAGGTTCTCACGTATACGCGTGGCAAACACCCTCCCACGATAAAAGGAAAATTCGTAATCATTTGTCCCTCACAGGAAGAAAAAAAATTAAAAAAAAAAATTCTCCGTTCCTCTTTCTTCTCCGGTGCATCTCTCTCTCGTTCTCGTCCCCATCTTCTTTGTCTTTCCCCTTAACCTCTCTCTGTTTAACGTGAGTCGAGAAATTCCTTGTTCTCGAGGAAGAGGATTGAGGAGTTAAAGGGAAGGAAAGAAGAAGGAAAACGCCAGTTTCAGGCATGGTTGACTGGTTTGGACGAGCCTGTATACTGGCCTTGCGGATTCTCGACCTTCTTCTTCTTGTACTCGGTACGGGAATGAAGAAACAAAGAGCATTAGCCTGCCACCTATTTTTTTTGCTGGAGGGGATTTAATCAATTATTCTGTGATTTTAATCAGTTTTTCGTTTGACTTCGGTTATTGAAGCTTTCGGTTGATTATTCATGGGTTTTCTGGAGTAATTGAAATCCCGGGTGGTACCTGAGAACATAAAACTCTTTCTTCAACCTTTTATGATCGTTTTTTTTATCGTAAAATGGATCACAGCGATTCATTCTCGAATTCTTGATGTCTTCGATAAATTTGGGATTTGGGGGGGGGGGGTACGCGGGGTTCATTGGGAGGCCAAACAAATTTTTGCTTTAGAATTATAATTGTGAACCCGTTTGCTCTAGCATTGGTGACAATACCCCTGGAAGATTTAGGTTATGAGTTCTTTCCTGTTGGATTTTGGGGGAATCCCCGGGTATTTTGAACCGGAAATTCCATCAGTAGCGAATTGGTCCGTTGGCGGGAAATTTGAATTGGGAAATTTTTTAATTTTGATGGAGTTTGGGGCTGGATTGCCGGGGCTTTCGGGTGTTGATCGATCAAATGAGTTAACTGGCCGCTTAGTACGGACCTCCTGGCAACTTCTACCTTCTCTCGGTACCCGCATTCCGTACTCTACCCGCGTCGACCTCATTCCAAACGTAATATATGTAACCATGTACGCACGTTTTCACGTTTTTGTGTACATGATTTTACACTTGGATCTGAGAGTTTAAAATCTATAGCTGCTTTTTATTTCCCGTTTCAATCAATTTTTTGTCATTATTATGAGGGAAAATCGGGTGGAGAAATTATTTGAAAAACCGAATTTTTCTTAACTATTATCAATACGTGATATTATCAGATACGTGATAACAGAACTTCTACAGAGTGACCTGCACAAGATCATCGTGAGTCCCCAGCCGCTGAGTCCCGACCACATCAAGGTTTTCCTCTACCAAATATTGCGGGGTGAGTACTCAAAAATCGATAACTACCGATTTCTCAAATATCTACTCATTTTTATAATTCAATAAATATCCCCAAACATCCAAAATAATCCATAAAAACCTCAAGTCTTTTCCCCATACAAAAAACCCGGAGAAGTCCCAAGAAAATTCTCTCCTTACGAATTTATTTTCCCTATGATTTTCTCGGAACGCGTTTTCCTCAAATACCTCGAAAAATCCCACTCGAGAGTCGACGAGTTTTTTTTTCTCAACCCATCGCAATATTTCCCAGCACTCCAACGCACTCGTACTCCCCTATCTCCCCCTTCATCCCTCCGTCCACTGAAAAACCCATAAAAACCGGACGGTCTTCAATGAACTCCTCCATCAGTCCCAAAAAATGCGTCCGCAGCGAAAAAAAAAAAGTTGAACGACCTCCCAGCCCCCCTCCCCCCTTCCCCAACCCACCAGAGAGCATAGCTTTTGACGGATCGAAAGAATTTCACCCACGGTACCTTCTAGACGAAAATTATCTAGTCCTGCAGCGAGCGGCACAAAAAAGAAATTTTTTTTTTTTTTTTTCATTCATTTTATTTCTCCTCTGTCGAAAACCAGTCCTGCCGCCGCCCATCCGTGACCCCACGGACCCCGTCATCCGGTCGTATAGCCGCACTCATTTTTCTTTCTAGATCTTCCCCCCTTACCCTCACCCCTGGGGTCCCCCAATAGAAACTGGTTGGTCTCACTTATATTCACAATCGATGTTTCAGTAAAGCGCGAATATTTTTATTTTTCGAAATACTGAAAATAAAAAATTCTTTTTCACCATTTTTTTTTTTTGCTTTTAGACTCGGGACGCGGTTAAGTGTCCCTGAGATCTGGTACGTGTTATCTGGTTTTTGGTTATTAATAGAACGAGACAATGTCGGCCGGAATTTAGCGGGGAGACGAACCAATCAATTTTTCCTTTAAAAAAAATATTGCAACGAAATTTTTTTTTTAATTTCTAGTCCCCTCCGCGCCTCCCCCCTCCCCACAGCGTTCGGCCGTTTTCCTTTGAAAAAAAAAATTGTGACGAAATTTTTTTTTAGAAATTAATACCCCCCCCCTTTCTGCCGTTTTTCCACCGACACTTCGGTTCCATCACCGGAAATAGGGGAAAGTATAGGCGCACAAGCACTAGGGAGTAGTTGCACTCTTAACAATCCTCTCCCCACATCCAGCAACTCCTCCCGAACCCCTCCCCCCTGGCATTTCCAATGCATTATGCACGTGGGATGCTTTGTGAGAGGGTACACTCGAGTGAGCACTGGTGCTCTCTGGAGCGATCGCCCCCCAGCACTGTTCTACTCTGTGTTGAGTTGCCTCCTAGAATAGTTAACAATTGAGTAAAGGTCGTTGGTCACCCCCTGAGGTTGGCAACTTGAGTTGATCGAATAGCTCATGTCTAACAAGTCCTCTAAAAGGGTGGGGATAGGGCACAGGATTCACAGATTTCCTTACCAATCCGTAAAAATCATTTTTTCGTACTGCATTCACGACCTTGAACTTAGCCAACCCCTGGGGGGTGGGAATTTTTTAATGACTGCCTGCAGGTCAGGACAATTCGGGGAGATTGGTTATCTCTGGTGCAGGATTACTTCTCAGACTAGGACGATAAATATTATTGAGGGTTAAACTTGCGGAAGAGATTGAGTCGATAATACTGAGTTTGAAATAAGAGTGCTGTGGCGGTATGACACATGCGGTTGTTAGCCGTGCCCAAAATAAAGTACCATTCGCTTCTCGCTGCAATGTCTTCGCGCTCTTTATTCTCAGCATTGGCTCGATAATTCACGATTATTTCAATTAAAATTTATTTATTTTCACATCAACCACGAAGAGATAAATTAATAAAAAATAACGAAAATAACTGTGAAAATTTAACAAAACGAAACCATCAATATTTTTTTCATTCGATAATTTTCAATTATTTATAATTATAATTTGACTATCATGTGGCAAAATTGGGTTTTGTAACCACCAGTTTGGAGACGGGAACTGTAAAAATTTCGGTATCGACGTCAGTTATAGAGAAATCTATGAAAAATCGGGGGAGTGATGTGGACGTGAGGTTTCACGTGCAAACTCACCTGTAATCAGCAGTTGCAGGTCCCAGGGTTGCTTCGATTAATCACTCCATTACATTAATCCAGCGTCGCAATTTATCTCCCAGTGTACCCGAGAGACACGCATAATGGCCTAGACAGTGCAGTTCTCATCGACCCAACCACCCCAATTCCTCCCATTGCATTTTGCCCAGTTCAGTCACTCCCCCGACGTTTCCATGACCCCGGGGGGACCTGGAGAACCAAATTACATGGGTTCACAGCATCAGCCTATTTTTACCCCAATATTCATCCTAAAGCAAAAATAACATGATTCCACCACTCTTTGCCAAGCCCCCGAGTCAGGAGTAGCTTTCAAAAAAGCAAACCATTTTGCCCCGCATTATTGTATATTTTTTTTATCTGTTTTATGGATTTTTATGCAATTATGTCACTTTACACCGGTGATGCTGTTTTTTTAATTAAAAATTAATTGATGGGGCAGAATGGAATAATTATCTCGATTCCTAGTGATCCTAGAATAAAAAGGACGTAATCTCACTCCCCTCCCCACCCCCCCTTTTTTAAAAATCCTCTGTCGGGAATTTCAGATATACAATTCCTTTTGCCTCGCACCTCGTGTTTTTTTTTTATTTTAGCGGTTATTTTGCGAATATGTTACTTCGCACTCGGTGATGGTGGTTTTTTTTTTGTTAATAAATAATTGAAAGGGGCGGAATGGGCGATTATATCTGTTTCTATTGATTCTAGAGTGAAATGAATGTAATTTCTCATACACCAGTACCAACGACTTGTTAACCTTTATCTCTTCTCTACTGCAATCAACTCAATCATATTTCTAATTAATTTCTTGTATTCCAGGGCTTAAATATCTCCACTCGGCGAGGATCCTCCACAGGGACATCAAACCCGGGAACCTATTAGTGAACAGCAATTGCGTTCTGAAGGTAAAAAATTGTCAGAAAATAATTTCTCCGTTATTTTTGTGAATGGGAATTATCATTTCGCCCCATAAATTTTCCCTGGGAGGGGCAATCCCTTCACTGGGGATGGAAAGCATCCAGAATTCCATCATCCCCCCAGATAATACCCTGACCTTGAAGATAAAACCTCTCAGGATCACCCAAACTCAATTATCCCCAGGGTTCAAACTCGTGGACAAAAAAGAATATTTTTTTCTGGGCTTTTTTTTTCACGAGCTTCTACTTGAGTTTCCAAATCTTGGGGGATGATGACTGGGAGGGGCTTGATGTAGGTCACTCCGAAGGGTAAACCTTTGAAACGAGATGTTGGGGGGGGGGCTAATTATCCCAATTACGGCCTGAGATATTGAGTTTCAAAGATCAACTCGGAAACACCAATTTTTCAACATGAAAAACGAAAATTCTGGGTTTGTTCTCCGGGAATTTTCATAGGGTTGGGGGTGGGGCTGGGATCGAGATTGATCCCTCATCCTCAACGGCGAGATTTTAGCCGGAATATTAGATATCGCGGTGTCTGTTTGGGTAATTAAAAGTCGAGATATGAATTTTTGAGTGGAGGGAAGTCGAGAGGTGAAGCTTTTGCGATAAATTTTCATCCCTTGGAAATGATTTTTTAATGGGCTTCAATATTTGCAGATCTGTGATTTTGGCTTGGCGAGGGTAGAGGAGCCAGATCAGAACAAACACATGACCCAGGAGGTGGTGACACAGTATTACCGTGCACCAGAGATTTTAATGGGTGCACGTCACTACACAGCTGCAGTGGACGTATGGAGTGTTGGCTGCATATTCGGTGAACTTTTGCGCAGGCGAATTCTATTCCAGGCACAGAGTCCGGTCCAGCAGGTAATGAACAATTATAAATTATTGGATAATCCATTCAATTATTTTTAATCCTTACACATACTCTTATATTCATTCATTCATTATATTCTATTTTTATATCATCTATATATTTTTTATATTTTTTATATATATTTTTTATTTATATATTTTTTAATATCAATAATTTAAATTATTGGATAATTATAAAAAAATAATGAGTCAAACGAAATTTAATCATCAATCAGAAGAATAATGAGTGATTTTGTAGATTTGATTATTTGATATAAATTTCAGCTGGAGCTAATAACAGAATTGTTGGGTACCCCAACCCTCGAGGATATGAGGTACGCCTGTGAGGGTGCCAGGACACATATGCTGCGACGAGCACCAAAGCCATCCTCACTGACAGCCCTCTATTCGTTGAGCAATCAGGCAACTCACGAGGCTGTACACTTACTCTGCCAGATGCTCGTGTTCGACCCTGTGAGTTACTCCCCTCGATCGCCATTATACAGCTTTATCCATCCATTTCCAACACTCCCCGCTCCTCCCCTCCCTCCCATTATTAAACACCCCCGCAAAAATCGATAATAAGTAAATAATCAGTAAAATTTCCAACAACTTCCAAATCCGAGAATCCTCACTCCAAAAATTTTCATCATCATTTAATTATTTTTTAATTATAGTAATTGTTCATTACCTTGAAAATATTTCAATGAAAGTACAAATTATTCATTTGATAGTCATTATTTATTATGCAATTGATAGATTAGTTGTTTGTAATTATTAAAATGTTTACAGGATAAGAGAATTACTGTTGTTGATGCACTGGCCCATCCGTACCTCGACGAGGGTAGACTGAGGTATCACTCGTGCATGTGCACGTGTTGTTACACAACGAGTGCTGGTATGAGACAGTACACATCGGACTTTGAGCCGGCGACGTCCCATCCCTTCGATGATTTGTGGGAGAAAAAATTGACGAGTGTACAACAAGTCAAAGGTAAACTTCAATTACATTCAAACGTAAACACCAATCCCAAATACGCCCTTCGGCTACCAAAATCATTCAAATCTCAAAATCCAATTAATTATAAATAATCAAATACCAAATAATAATTATGATTAATAATAATAATATGTATTATTATTATTACTTGATTTAACGATTGATTTATTATCTGTAATTATTGAATTACACGATACAAAAAATTAGTAAATGATTTTAATTTCGGTTTGACAGAAGATTTGATTGAAAATTCTGCTGTTGGTCTCAATTTAATCGAGCAGTCGAATAATAACTAATTGATTATTGTTTATTGTTGAATTTTGCAGAGGAAATGCACAAATTTATTGCGGAGCAGTTGAACACATCACGTGTCCCATTGTGCATAAATCCCCAGTCAGCTGCATTCAAAAGTTTCGCGAGGTAAATATCCAATGTGTAAGAATATTTCATATTTTTATTTCTTTTGAGAGGTCTCTCTGCTGTTAATTGAAGTAAGAAGACAAAGAAATCCATGAATTGATGCGTCAGCTTAAAGTTCAGAGTCTTGAATTTTATTTCATCGCGACGCCATCGATGTAGATGAAAAAGTTGAATTCATGCTTTTTGCAAGTTTTGCTTCTTGATAAAGATTTGCACGATTTTTTAGGGGATCTTAAGCTCAATAGATTGGCAAATTATTGGATAACTTATCTAGATCCTGCGTTCAATTCAATTGGATAAATTCAAGTCGTTAGTTGATGATGCAATTATCCTGGTAATTATCCGTAAATCTCTGGATATTCACTCCCGAAACCTAGCTCCTGAGAAAATATTATAATTAATAAATCGACAAACTCGTCACGACTGGTATTCTCAAAAATCAGTTCAATATTTACCCGAATTAAAATTCATCCATTCGATAAATATCACCAGTCATTCATCGATACATGGAAATATTTCTAATGATTCAGTATGTCATTAGTTAAAAATAACTCACTCTTTTCACGCGATTTCGTCATTGGGCTGACATTTTTCACGGAAACATTCTCTACTGACTTCATTTTAATTGTTATATTTCCCTTGGCAATCGAAATGAAAAAAAAAAGCAGTCACCAATATCAACGAAATCGTGTAAAGATCGTGACTTTCAAAATGATTCATCAATTATCCCGTTAATTAATACCCGAATTGTCTTCTTAATTCATTGAACCAGAACCAGGCAGCAAAGTCATACGAATCAGCCTCGATAAAAAAAACACCAAAGACCTGAAATATCATTTCTAATGCTAAAAAAAAAATGTCGCAAAAACCACCAAGAGCAATATTTTGTGTTTTTTTTTACCTTTACTTGTCCCGTGTTTCAAGTTAGAGCAAGCCGTTGCCGCCAAGCCAGCAATCTACGTGCGCCGCGTATACGTACACAATAACTACCAAACTACCCTGAATGTGACTATCTACTAGCTGCTCGGCTACCTACTATCGTCTACTACTACCTAAAAAAACGAAAAAAAAAAAAAAACAAACAGCTAAACTAGAAATGAAAGAGAAAAGAATTAAAGCGCATTTTTTTGACGATTTTGAGAGAAAAATATAACGAAAATACTAGAGTTACTCAGCAATATGTCGTCCACGCAAGCCTCACTCGCAGAGGTACTCACTTTTAAACTTTTTTCCATTCTTTCACTGTCGTTTTATCATTTATTTAGTCATTGTCAGTTGTTTCATCATCTTTTGATTAATCATCTCATTTTTCATTCATTTGTTGATCGATTTTATATTTTTTTTTTCGAGATTTTGTCGTTCGTTTCACCGGAATTTCAATTTTTCACCATCAATTTTTGGGAGCTATTTTATTTTTTGGACCTGGGGTGAATTTGAGGGAATTACATCGGTTTTTGATGGGAGGGAAATTTTTTTTTATCGATGGAAATCTTTATGGATTTTTTGAGATTTTTTTTTATTGATGAAAAAGAAAAATTTTCTTGCGTTCTGAATTTTTGAGTTTATTTTTGCGTTTTCGGGATTTAATGAGAAACGATTGGTTTTTAATTATTTTGATAATTGACTATATTTTTTTGCCTATTTCAATTGCTTGTTGTGGGTTTTTTTTGGGGGGGGGGAGTTTGTAGAATGTTTATTTTTTTGTAAAATCGATCAATATTAATTCATTTATTGTTATGAACATTTAACTTACACGTAAATCCCTCTGTGTTGGTTGCAGCGGCGATTCGAGCCGGTCAACACGCCAAATTAACTAATTTCATAAATAAATTAATTGAAAGATTGAAATAGACATTTTTAGTACCTCATTAGAGAGATAATAATTTTCTTGGATTTCAATGCTGTAGAGATGTGAAATATTAGAGTTTTTCTTTCTTAAAAATTAATTAATGGATAGTTTATTGCCATTAACGTAATCCGATCGAATTGTCGATGTAAATAATCCCAGGGGTTTATGCAGCTTGAGTTCAAAATTTTCCATTAACCAACATTCTGGGTTTATAAACATTGAAATTTATTATTCCTGCCATTAATGGGACTACAATGACCATCGGGCCCTTAAAATAAATACAATCGAGGCTTTCAAAAAAATTTATCACTCAATCAAATGACAGAAATGGCAAAATTCGGTAATAAAAAAAAACAAGTCAAGGAGTCAATGGAAAAATTCATGGAATTGTTATATTTCAATATCAAATATTTAAACCAAAAGCTGCAAAAACCCCCACTACCCTCTGTGTCAACCCTGTAAATATCCAATCCACACCATCTTCTCCACCGGAAAAACAGAAATACTTAAAAATCATCTAACAAATTATTTTCCCTCAATTTTTCCAGCTCAACTGTGGCGCATCCCTCGGAATTACCACCGTCACCGCATCAGTGGGAATGATCCCACTCATCCCACAATCTCCAATCATCTCTAAAACCACAACAAAAATAATTAAAAACGAGCCAAGAGAGATAATAGACTGCCGAGCACTTGTAGACTCGAATTTATTTTTTTTCTTTTTCTTTTATTTTTTCTCTATATGAAGATAAACAATTCTCAATCTTTAGTTTTTAATGCGAGATAAGAAAAAAATCTAGGTAATTTCACAAACGGGATTATTTTTCCTTCGTGTACATAGACGATTATAATAGAGGATAACGAGACTGCGGGGGTGAGAGGGGGAGGGAGGGGAGGGGGGGGGCTAGGTTAATTACCAAAAGCAATTACTTCGTCTCGTGGAGAATTTCAAATGAGAAAAAATGTTTTTTTGTTTTGATTTTTAGAAAGAAAGAGTCATCTCAGTGTGTGAAATTTTGGCAGGAGAAATTTCCGATTTTTAACTCAAATTTTGGGCCCATTATGCCCCGAGATTTTGAGGTAAAATTGACAGGAAATTAATGAAATGTTTATGGGAGGGAGAGGGGAATTTTTTTTTTCGACGAATCGGTCGGAAATTTTTTGGACCTCGAGAGTGATAAAATTTTATTATAATTGGACTGATGATTTCGGAGTTATAAGGGCGTAAACGATTGAGATAAATTCTCTGCGAGGATGAATTGGGTATTGATAATTATGGCCAGTTTCGTTAATTAATTGGAGGGGTAATTAGTTAATTGGAGGAGTTATCGTGGCCGGGGGTGGGAGGGGCTCCGAGGATTTTTTTTCGTTGATAGGGGAGAGGGTAAATGGGGGAGGAAGACAGGGAGAACAGGAAATGAGCGATACTGACGTTTTGGTTAGTGTATTTATTGTATAGTAGAATTATTTGTAGTCTGGGGTGATTAAAGGGTGTAGTAATGTGCAATTTCCATGAAAAAAGTGGAAAAAATCCTGGGAAAATCGGAAATTATCGAAGGGGTTGATGGGATGAGGAAGACATTTTTTTTTTTTGTGGAGGATTTTTCGATTTTTCTGGGAATATTTTGGTGAGTCGTGGAGACTGGGGCCTAGATCTGGGAAATTTCCTGGATTGTTCCTTTAGTTAATTGAAAATTATTGACGAAATTGGGGCAGGGCTTAGGGGGGTTTGGACGATTGAACAGGTGCAAGTCATATTTCCCAACGAATTTTCTGGGAAAAAAAAGCATTCGGAGATTTATGACTCGAGGCGCTAGTTTAAGGGATTTTTAGCATTTTTCCTTCGCTATTTGTTTTTTTTGTCAGGAAAAAACGAATGAAAAGGATCTCCAGGTATTTCTGATTAGTTAATATTGATATCTGTCCGGAGTTTATCTTCCTCGTGTCATCGTTCGTTTTGTCATATGTAAATAATCATTGCACGTATGTAAATAGATTTTATTGGAGAATTTTTATTATCGATTTTGATTGAGTTTTTCAGGGGGTGGGGAATAGGGGCGCGTGAGTCGGGAATTTATTGGCCTGAAAAAGTTAACGAATAAATTGAGATAATTCATTGATTTGCAAAATAATTTCTGGATTTGAGTTATTGAGGAATTCAACTTGTTGTGGAATTTTCTTTACTCTTTGAATCAAATTTGTTTCATTGAAGACAGATTTGATCGTAAATTTTCTGTTCTCACGAATGAATGAATGAAATTAAATGAATCCGGATTTTTGGAAATTCACGGAAAATTCGGGGAGACATCGCCCCAAAAATCCTCGAAACTCGAAGAACTCATCAAAAAACGGACCAAAAATTCTCTCAAAACCGTCAAAACTCATTACAATTCTCAAACAACTATTAGTAATGACTTCTCGTGATTACAAAACATGTAAATATTTTAAAATCAGTCAGTAAGCCACGAAAAATCAGTGAAATCTTAAAAAAAATCATGAAAAAGTCCCAAAAGCGTCTAAAAAATCATGAATTAGCCTTTTTCCTGCCAAAAGACCCAGCAGATCGCTGCCGATTACTCTGTAATTACACAGATTAATCACAAAAAAAAATCACCAAGCGGGACATGATTCTCTCACAATTAAAAATCAGAAAAAAATCGATTGTTGTAATTAAACAAGAAATTAAATAAATAAAAAAAAACAACAACTTAGAGTAGAATTTATTTCCATTAGTGGCTTTGTACTTTCAATTTTGTCATTTTTCCTACTTAAGTGACAAAATAATCATTAGAATTGTGTAATTAGACATTGAGAATTATCTCTCTGTTGATAAAGAACAAAAAAAAATACATAATTCCAGAGATAACGACAATTTGCCTTGATTATGGAACGTGGAGTACTGATCCCATCCCCAAATATTCCAAACCTGTTTAAAACTCCAGAAAATCTCCAGAAATTGATCAATCAATTGATTAATCGTTTCATCGATGATTAACCACCATTAATCTATAATGATTAATCAGTCAATTGGTGAATTTTTGAAGATTGACTGGATGGAAATGGATTAAATGGAATGGAAAAATACAAAAAATGAAAAATCATGATATTGATTGAAGGAGTAATTAATTAACTAAGAGAAAATTAATTAAAAACAAATGATGTCGCTTCCTGAGTAGTGAAAAAGAAATTCGTAGGAACTTTTGCCAGTGGATAATTAATAATTAAGAGTAAACAGTGTGATGACCTGTCGTTAGTAACTAAGAGGCCTTAATTATCACATTTTAATTAATGAATAATGAAAAGAAAATAATTGAATTAAAATGGTGACGAAAAAAAAAACGTAGTGAAGCAAACAAAAATACAAAATGTAGGGGAGATTAACGAGGGGGGAGCAATTGCGATCGGTGAGGTATAGGTATGTACATTGTAAGATATACGAGGGTGATAAACATTCATGTAAATAAATCTTTGCACTTGAACACAAGGGATAATTAATTGAAACAATTTTTCATTAAGGAACAAGTGATTATTTCCTCCATCACTGCCAGTACCAGAAGTGACTGGAATTATTTCCGAATTTTTTCTGTAGTTAATTACATGAGGGAGGGGAATGTCAAATCGGGATGTTTATCGATTTTTATCGATTTTTATTTTCATTTTTCGATTGTTCAAAATTGAACATTGCGATTTTATTGTTTTTCATCAACAAAAATCGGAGAGGTGTACTGAAATTATATCGAAATCGATGAGGATCGATAAATATCGATGACAGAGGCGGCGATAGCGATGGCTTTTGCCGATTAATATTCGATAAAAATCGATAGAAGTGGAGGTGTTATTTATATTTCAATAAATCGACGAAAAATAGAATCATCGATTTCCATACACGAAAATGATCGATAAAAATCAATAAAAATCGATATAGTTAACGACTTGAAGTCTTGCGAATTCCTAAAACTTCTCAGTCCCTCACAAAAACTGTAAATACTCCGATTTTCATCGACTAGTAATATTGTATAGCCAAAAAAAAAACACAATTGTAAATACTTATGTGTTGTAAATTTTTCGAAATGAAAAAGTGATAGAAGTTTTCGATGTTGAAACGCGACTCGACCGATCGACCAATCAAAAACTCCCGAATCCCATCGATGATAACGAACTGATAATTTATCCCATCGATGAGCGATTTATTGATTGATCGATCGGCGAAGAACTACTTTAATCACCTAAATCTCTCAAAAAATAATAAATTCAATGAAAAAGAAAAAAAAAACACTAATCTGTAGGTACTAATTAACAATTTAATATTATCTGTGTGTGGTCGAATGTTTTCGAAGATAAAAAAATAAAAAAAATACATAAAGAAAAATTCAGAAACTATTAATAAATTCACCGCACCCTCTCCTCTTCAAAAAAATCATTCAATTCAATTTAAAGAAAGGGTGAAACTTGAAAATTAAGACTTTGGGGCGGAAGAGGAAGTGCAAATCAAAGATCCGTTGCAATGATTCACCTAGCATATCCTCATCAGTTGTGCCATCAAACGGATGTAATAACTTACTCGATTTGCAAATTCAGAGTTGTCAAAAGTACATCAGGGTAAAAATTACGAATGAAGATAATGAGGTGTAATGAAACTGTTTGCAATGCTGATTAATGATACCCGGTGATGGGAATAGATTGTCATGTGGGTGGTGGACAATGAAGACCCAAGAGACTATTTAAAGTCTGTCAGATAATCCCGTTTCACTATTGAATTTACATATAAATTTCAACATCAATTCTACTTATTGCATGAAATATGAAACTGACTAATTATTTTAAAAAATTAAAAATCAGGTTTTCACTTAAAAAAAAATGAAAAAAAAAAAATAAATCAAATAAATAATCGAATTAAATTATTTTTTTAATTTCATTATATTATTGTGATCACATATATATATATATTCAAGCACATTTTTCCAAAAACCTGATTTTCCAATTCGATACCAGAAAAAAAAATCGTTCGGACGGAAAAAAAATCGAATTACGAGTGTAAAGATTGATGTGTTTCGATTGAAAAATTAATCGAAAACTGTCAAGCCCAAAGTTAGTCATCCAAATATGAAAACGTAATAATAAAAAAATTATCCATCACCTGTGTGACACCTGCGCTCATTCCCGATTCTCCATTACTTCTCTCCAAGTGTAAGTAACATGAATCCTTCGTGTTTACAACGGTACCTCAAGTTTCTGAAACGTTTCACATCAAAGGAGCGATTTACGGGGAAAACCCGGAGAAAAATAAAAAACTGGAAAAAAGTTTGTTAAAAGATTAAAAAAAAAAAATCCTGAGAGTCAGCGGCGCTTTGATACAAACTCACACGGAACACATAATTCACAACAATCGGCTTCCTTTTACAGCAACCACTGACGATTCGTCTTAATCGACTTTGCCGTCAACATTGATAAATTACTGATTGACAACGCACTGAATGACGACTACACATATCCCAAGGTCACGAGATTGTATCTGATGATCGAGAGATTTTCCGTGAAATCAAAAAAAAAATCATCCGTTTTGCTCCAGTAGATCGGGAGAAAATCCTAAATCAATTTCCATCGATCGTTTATCGATCAATGCAGACAATTTCAGGATTTTTGGCTTTAACTTTAGTATCGGTGGAGCAAAGTCGGTGATTTTAATTGCATTCGATAGCCAGTGAAATTTCAGATCGAATGAAAAAAAAATGATCTATTTTCGTCCTGCAGGTCCGGGGATAATCCCTGTTAAAATTTTTTTGGATCATTTATCAATCGCTAGATCGCTTCGATCGAGTTGCATTCTGAACGATTGGAGTCCTTAAAGTAGGAAATTTGAACTTTCAT